AAACATAATAATAATAATTATATATATATATATTTTTTTTTATTATTATTTTTTTTATTTTACCATAAGCATTTTCTATTGTTATTTTGTGAGACTGATTTATTAAATAACATCTAGTCTCCTCATTAAACTGTTCTGATGCATGACTCATCGTCATTAGCGCTGTAGTTTCACACAGTTGCATGCAGAGTCCAAAATGAACACTCAGCAAGCGCCAAATGCTTGTAATAATTGGTTTTGGCAAGGACTAAAACAAATGAAACTGGCCAGTTGGTTGTTTTTAGGAAACAAAACAAGGTTAAAAACAGTCAGTCTGTATCAAAACAAGCAATCAAAACCCGAGGAGCAAGATTACATTATTATATTTGTGTGTGTGTGTGTGTGTGTGTGCGCGCGCATTCATATGCATGCTTATCTGTGACTATATTACAATACATCATGGTTAGTGGATAATTAAAACATTAAAGAAACGAAGATTTATTACAACATTATTTTAGTAGGCACATAATTGATAACCCTGCGCTTAAAGTTGCAGTATCTCTTTCCTCCGGCCCGTCACGGCCATGTCAGATCCTGGTTAATCTTTTGGGGCGAGGAAAATGAGGCTGTGAAACTCACCCTAGACGTCTCTGATAAATTGTGTTGATTTTTCAATCAGAAGCCCCTCTAGGTACATGTTTCATAGCTTGTATTCGAATTGTTTGTTAGTAGCACAAGATGTGCCACGTTTTGAATATCAGGAAGAGCTAGCGTTGTTCTTTTTTCTAGTATTCAGCTAAATTAGGACTAAGGAGTGAATCTCACAAACCCTGTCAAGAATATGTCTGGGTTATTCTTTCAAAGAAAGAAATAAGAAGTTATAATATGTATAAGAAACTGATGGCTATTTTAGGACTTTTAGGTCCTTGCCTTTTGACATTATTTTAGTTTAAAAAGGGTACATTTAATCCATAATTAAAAGGTACAGAATTATTTAAATAATTACTTTTATTAGATTTTATTAATTAATTTCAACATTATTAATATTTCAACATTTTATTCTATTTTATGTATTAATTATACATTTTATTAAATTATTTTAATTATTTTATTAATATTTGTAACAATTCTTATTAGAGAAGATAGTGCCCATGTTGCTATTTCCACGATACAAGGAAATGGTCAGTAACATCATCAGTATGTACACACATAGTGTGTGTCTGTGTGTATGTGTGTGTGTTGGGCCTGCAGTATATAAAAGGCAGATCCTCTTGAGCCAGATGAGTAGGAAGTACACATGGCTTGAGCAAACAGCGGTAATAAAATTCAGCATTAGCTGCTAAAGCATATCACATTCTCTGACCCTGCAGCCAACTCTCCACACAAATACTGCAGCTCCAAACATGCCTATTTAGACCAATTGCTTTTACAGTTTTTATGCACCTCATAATGTTCTCTGCAAGGTACAAGCTTGCTTTTCATTTTTAATCAAGATTTAAAACACTTCAAAGCCGCATGTTTAATCAGTAAGTCTGTTAAATCTATCATTACCCTGCAGAAAATCCAGCTAAATCTAATGCTAGTTTGTTTTGCGTGGTTTCTGGATGGTTATTTACGAGCTGGACTAGCTGGTGAGACTGACCTGTTTAAGCTGCTAGGATCTTGGGTTAGGTTATGTTACAAAATAAAATTTTGAGCAGCTTGACCACTTTATTAGACTTGTTTTGGCCAGAAAGGTCTCTGTAAGGTTGTGCGATATTTATCGTCTGCAATAGTATCGTAATTGTTGTTTTAATGATGTGCGATTATCGAGTCATTTGCAAAAAAACTAAAACACGTCTTGAAAGTCCAAAAGCATTCACTGTGATGATGGTGTGATGAAGCCTATTCGAAAGTTAGAATGACTCTTTAAATCTGTCAATAAATATCAGCCGTTTTGAATGAATCATTTGAGTCAATGATTCAATGATCCATTCATAAAAACCATCACTTGCTTTGTTTCTAAATGAATCAGCCGTTTTTAATGAATCATTTGAGTCAATGATTCAATGATCGATTCATAAAAACCATCACTTACTTTGTTTCTAAATGAATCAGCCGTTTTTAATTAATTATTTGATTCAATGATCCATTCATCAAATCCATCACTTGCTTTGTTTCTAAATGGATCAGCTGTTTTGAATGAATCATTTGAGTCAATGATTCAATGATTCATTCATAAAGACCGTCACTTGCTTTGTTTCTAAATGAATCAGCCGTTTTGATTGAAACGTTTAAGTAAATGATTCAATGAATCACTCATTAAGGCAGGGGCTTGCTGCCACCTCCTGGCGGTTTTAGTGTCATATTTATTTATCCTTGACAGGCCTAAACCAGCAAAGGTAACAGCACAAAAACACACTCAGCAAAATATAATTTAATTATCATCATCAAAAAAATCCAAATAAATATAAAGATATAATTTTTTTTGTCAATATTGCACATGCCTAGGCCTAACTTCCAACTTGAACAGGAAGAGACCAACTGACTGACATGCAAAATGACCAACCACAGTTTGTTTAGTATCCCTTTTTCACATATTTTGACCACCCATACTGTTTTTTCAGGGTATATAGAGGAGGCCTGCATCGTCCCCTGCCCGTCTGATTGTAAACTCAGTGAATGGTCCAACTGGTCTCGCTGCAGTAAATCCTGTGGCAGTGGGGTCAAAGTTCGCTCAAAATGGCTCAGAGAAAAGCCTTACAATGGAGGAAGACCCTGTCCAAAACTGGATCACCTTAACCAGGTAAACATCACGCTTCCATATGCATGGAGAAATCAATTTTGAAGGTATTAAATGTTCAATGCATGGTTTTATATAGATATAGTCCATGACATGAAGGCGCAGGGGTTTTCAAATAAATATATTTGCTTAATAAAATAATAAAAGGAAAGAATTTTGAAGATATTAGATGTTAATGTACATTGTTTTGTATCTTACACATTGAGTAACTTTTATATCTTACTAGCTTGAGTAGCATACTTACTGAAATGGAACCTACAATACAGATTTGCATTACAATTTTGGATTCCAATCTCACAGATACAACAGATCTTGGCGTAGTATATTGTTAACAAAGCATATTCTAATGAGCATAAATATACCAGTGTTATTATAGTTAACTAAAACTAAAACCATTCAAATAAATTGCTACTTGAAATAAAGTTTTGTTTGTTTAACTTGAAGTACTAAAATAACTCAAACTAAATAAACTAAAATTAATAAACAAACATGAATAAAAAAATTTAAAAAACGAATAAAAATAATAACACCAAAACATACATAGCATGTGCAAATACTGCATTAAATAGTACCATTTTATTGGGATTAAACTATTTTATTGCTACTTTTTGATGGTGAATAAATTATAAGTATACTTAAAATCATTTCTCTTTCCTCGTCCCTAATTTTAAATGGGTGAAGTTTAGATGGAGCGTATTGTAATGCATTGTGGGATTGCCAAAGGATACATGAAGTGCTACCTTACAATTTGTCCAAAGGAAGGCATCAAGCATGCTGATTTGTCATTCCTTAAAGCGTAGAAGCACACCTATGATATCTTAAAATACTGCCTGCATAGGCAGTTCACTAGGCTTTGGAACAGAGTTCAAAGTTTCCCTCAATTTCTGGAACCGCTGGCTTTGATTATGCAGTGAAGATCCAAAAATAGGTTCACAAGTGAATCTCAAATTATTCAGAAATGCGTGTCTTTTCATCTGTTTTTTTATTGAGATTTGCTAGAAATAGATGACTCCACATCAAAGCGTTTCTGAGATCTTTGCTCCTGACAAATATGCACTCTTGGCTTTGGTTTAATTTAAATGCTCTCCTTCTATTAATTAACGGATTATCAGGGTGGTTACAGGTCATGCTGTTTTACATTTGACGAATTTGAACATGTCTAGAGAAAGAAATGACACAGACTTCTCTACTCTGTCAATGTGAAATCAAAATTAAACCTACAGTATTTATTTTCTTAACAGACATTTCTGGTCTTGTAAACTGTATTTCATGTTGAGTTTGAGCAATGCCGTTTTAAAAAAAAGATATACAATAATTAGAAGTGCATTCTTAACTAAACATGATGTTTTATGGTGCTTTGGTCTCTAGACGCAGATGTTCTAATGACTAATGATTTTTCCATAACTCTCCAATAATGCTGCTCGGCCACAGGCACAGGTAATAACGCTTTCTTCTCATAAATGGTGTTTCTTTCTTTCTTTCTTTCTTTCTTACATTTCTCATTCCAGAGTTCATTTAAATTCCTCTTATGGATTTTATGTCGTTGTGTTTGTCACTGTGGTGCACGATTACAATTTTTAAAGCATTAGAGGCACAAGTGCCATGCTTTTGTTGTGAGAACTACTAGATATGTCAGATAAACTATTAACCTACCATGAAAAGTTGCCTCCCCTCAAAAAATGGTTTGTCCCACTTTAAAACTATGGCACCCTAGCAACTGGCGCACTTGAATCAAAATTATTATTTTGAAATAATCTGTTGAATTAATGTCCCGATTGATTGATTGATTTTATTGAATTCTAATTGAATTATTTTAATTGAATACTTAATTGATTTTAATTTTTGAGTTGAATTTTAATTTATTTATTTTGTGCATTTAATTTTGCTCTTTATTATGTGTATTTATTTATTTATTAATGCCATAATCTTGAGTTAATATTCTGATGGGCGTTTTTATTTATTTATTTATTTAACTTAAATTATTATTATTATTATGATTATTATTATTTTGATTTAGGTATTTATCTAATTATGACATAATATGTTGAATTAACATTGGTGTTTATTTATTTATTTACTGAAATCAATTTTAATTAAGTATTTTTTTTGTTTTTCCTTTTTTTATTCAATGTATGTTTTATTTTTCTTTCTAGAAAAAAAACCACACAGAAATGAGGGCTTTAAACTGCTTTTAGACCCAAATTTTAGTAAATGCAAAAAACAAAATTATTCATGTTAAATTTAGTACATTTATGTTGAATAGAAAATAAAGCAGTTCATATACAGTACAGTAATAATTAGTTTGACCTTTGACTGAACATTTTATTGTACTCCTTTTTTGTGAAAATTTCCTGGTATTATTCAGACCAGCTCAGCTGCTTCAGTGAGAAGTGTTGGATTGTGTATGATTGTATATGTGTGGATGGTGGTCTCATGTTTCAGGTCTATGAGGTGGTCCCATGCGTCAGTGACTGCAGTCAGTATATCTGGGTAGCTGAACCCTGGAGTGTGTGGAAAGTCAGTAATGTGGATCTGAAGGAGAACTGTGGCGAGGGCGTTCAGACCAGAAGAGTCAGGTGAGAGTCAAAGATGCCTTTCCTCATATCTATTTTACTGTTACTCCATCCATAACCCTCTGACATTATACTGTGCTCATCTTTGATGGTCCTGCAGGTGTATGTTGAACACAGTGGACGGTCCCACTGATGCGGTGGAGGACTATCTGTGTGATCCAGAGGAGATGCCACAGGGCACGAGGGAGAGCCGCCTGCCCTGTCCCGAGGACTGTGTGCTGTCCGACTGGAGCCCCTGGACCCCATGTGACCTGGTCAGGATTATCACTAATCAGTTTAAACCCTGTTCACACTAGGGTTGCATCTCGGCATTAATTTTATCTCTGCATTATTTCACTTCTTCTCAGAATTGACCCTAGTAATGTCACATTTCAGAGGAGATCTCAGCAATGACTCAGATGTTGCATCAGATTTGCCAAGAGAGCAAAGACTGCAATCAAAAGATCTCAATATAAACACAAACATTTCTCCGAACAAATAAACGTAGCTGCTATCCAAAATGTTTTTTAGCATTATGCGCAATATTTTGAAATGGTGTTTATTTTTCTATTTTCAAAACTCTATTTTTTAAGTTTTAGTATTTTTGTTATGTGCTTCTGTCGTTTTATTTTTATAGTTTGTTAGTTTTATGTTTGTTTAGATTTATTTTAATTTCAGTTTTAGTTTTTTAGGAATTGTAGCACTTCAACTTTTTCAACAATTTATTTCAAATTTTCATTTAAGTTTTTTAAGTTTATTTATATTTTATTTCAGCTTCATTTCAAACCCCAAAATTATTTTTTTATTGGTTTTTAATTAATTGTATTAGTTTTTTTTATAATTCTGTTTAGCATTAATTTATTTAATTCAGTTTTAGTTTTAGTCATTTTAGGACTTAGTTATTTATTTCAGTTAGTTGCCAAGGCAACATTTCTAATTTTGCTTTAAGTTATTTAAGTTTTATATAGTTTTAATATTTATATTTTATTCCAACTTTATTTAAATCCCCCAAATAATAGCAACACTGATTAACAATAACAACACTGTTTTTTTTCTTCTTTTAATCCTAAGCATCTGAGACATGTCTAAGAAATCCCTTAAATCTGAGCAATAACATTTTTGGCTTATGCTAACAGGGATATGGTTTTATTCTGGGTTTTATGATTTCAGTTAGAGCCAACTGACATTGAAGCATAAATAGTGGCATAACAAAATCAGAGCAGGTCACTTGTTAGAGTTAATAAACAGCTTGAGGAGAAATATGAGAGAATTATGAGCTCATTAACATAAATGAACAGCAGTCTGTTTTATTGGCCTCTTAAAGCCTTGTTCTGGAAGAGGAGATCGAGAGAGGACGGCGTTTGCCCTGCGTCTGCCTAAAGAGGGAGAGGACTGTCCGGTTAGCATGCAGACCGAGCCCTGCCTCCTGAACCGCAACTGCTTTCACTACAGTTACAACATCACCGGTGAGTAGACCAGTGGTGCGTCCCAAATCGCGTACTTATGCACTATTCTATGACGTTTTTTTTAGTATAAATAGTGTATTGTAACGGGGTGGAAGGAACACGCGACAAGGAGAGCTCAAATAAATACCCCGGAGGGTGGATTTATTCACAGAGAAAGTGCTCAAGTGAGTGCGCTGGGTCCTGAGGTGAGTCGAGGCTTCTCCGTGCGTGAGTCGGTGCTTCTCCGTGAGCGTGTTCCAGTGTCGGTGAGTCCGTGCGGCGCTCGTGTGTGGGCTGCTTGGTCACGGGCTGGTTTCTGGAATGTAAAGGAGACAACACGTTAGACTTCAGCTGCTGGGAGAGCATCTCTTCTCCCTTTCCTCGGGCCTCACGCGGCTTATCTGGCCGTGGGCTGATGACTCTCAGCTGTGACCAATCAGCCCGTGATGAGCGTGTGCAGGTGTTCCTCGTCCGTTTCCAGGGCAACGCTGATGTGAGCTCGGGACGCTCGTCACAGTATATATTACAAATTATAATAAATAGAGTATTGCATTCACACTGAAAATTCCAAAAAGAAAAAGTGCACTTTAAATACCCGGATGATGCACTTAAATAACCGAAAAAACTAAGTGGGGAATGTTGTGCACTTCATGCACTCATTGTAAAGGAGACAACACGTTAGACTTCAGCTTCTGGGAGAGCATCTCTTTTCCTTTCCTCGGGCCTCACGCGGCTTATCTGGCCGTCGGCTGATGACTCTCAGCTGTGACCAATCAGCCCGTGATGAGCGTGTGCAGGTGTTCCTCGTCTTTTTTAAAACTTCCTAACAATTATTTGTCAAATTTCGTTTTTTGTCTTGTTAATATGCCAGTTAACATTCACAACACTGTTCTGCGAATTTGTAAGTAAACACTATGTTATTACGGGCATTATACGGAGGTAATATGAAAGGAAAAGGCCATCAAAACTTTCCTGGCTGAAATGTGAGTTTACAGGTATGATTTAAACACCATAAATCACACAAAATATGAATTATTAATCATCACTAGATCAAAACAACACGGCATGTTGACATAAATGTGGGTTATTTGGTGATTGCTAACTGCTGAACTCTCACTGTATGACGTTACAGAACGTTGTCCGGTCCAGTTCCGTTCACACAGCAGTGTTGTGTTTCTGTTAATCTGCGTGTTGACATAAAGATACTCTCGTGCTGCGGTTATTTACTAGCGAATGCATCGTACATTCCGCTTACAGTATATCGATGGAACACGTGGAACATACCAACTATACAAACTGTGTGGAGGGGAACCTAAACTGAGCCATTCACTATATAGGCCACTACAACCAGGGAGTCGCTGAAAATGAGTGTGTTTGTTTACAGAACGCTGTTGTCACTGCTGCAAACTCCCATATAAATAATTATTAAAAAAATATAATTTCCCTGCAGCCAGTGGGCCCCCTTTCCAGTGTAGGCCCCTGGGCTTCAGCCCCTTGAAGCCCGTGCATTAATGCGCCCCTGAGTGCGTCATTTGGGACGCAGCTCAAAACTGCAAAGTGTTTCCCCAAACAGGTTTCCTAACTATGGTTGCTCGATTTGGAGCAAAAATCTTAATTGGATGCAAATTAAAATCCAAATAAATTAATAAATAAATTTGAAAAAATACAGGTTTGCTTGGATTGTTTCTAGGGCTGCACATTTTTGCCTACATTTTGGCCAACACTTTATAACAATATGGCTATAAAATAATAATAATAATTGTTATTTTTCATTGTTATTATTTATAATGTTTGATTTATTTTAAATAATAATTTCAAAATGTGATTATTATTATTTATTTTAGTTAAGCCCTTGTTTGTAAGGCTGCACATGGCCAATAATAATAATTATTATTATTATTTTATTATTATTATTATTATTATTATTATTGGCCAAATTGTGCAGCACTAAAAACAAGGGCGTTTAAAAAAATATTATTAGTTATTCTTATTATTGTCCATGTGCAGCCTTAAAAACAAGGCCTTTAATAAACAAACAAACAAAATTAATCAAATTTTAAATTATTATTATTACTACTACTACTACTACTAACTAACTAACTAACTAACTAAAATATATACATTTCTAAATAAAAACAAAATAAGAAATATCGGTACTGTAATATTGCACTGTAAAATAAAAAAATCAAGTATTTAAGAAAAATAACAATTATAATAATTTAATATTTTACATTACATTAAAATGCTAAAATAGTCATATTTATGGTCTTAATTTCCCAAATGGTTTGCCAAATTGTGTTCTTTCTAAAGTTAATGTGACATTAATGATCCAAATAAAAAAAAAATTAAATCAAATTTTTTTTCTCTCATAAAACCTTCTGTTTCTCTCTAAAAATACACCACAGTACTGCAGTAAAATTGGTTGTGAATGCTGTTTCTTGCTGACTTTAACGCTTTTTTCTGCTCTTTGGCTGCCTGTGGTTTTTAAGTCCTTCTGGTCTGGGCATTGTCCACACAGCACTTTATCCACACAGCACTTCCTTTTCTCTTATTGTTTTGAATTGCCGTTCATATGAATGAGTCATTCAAGAGTTTGGATCATTACTGGAACTGCTTGCTCCATCTGCTCAGACTTCATTCACGATTCCCCTCCAAGAGTGTCAAAGTGAAGCGCAGCGGTGGTGTCAGTTTATGGAGCTAAGACTGTGTCCTCAAACCATCCGCTCTGGTGGACGCAAGCAACCTCTGACCTAGACGTGTAGTTTAATGAGAACCCACAGGGTGAAATCTGTGTGTGTGTGTGTGTGTGTGTGTGTGTGCGTGTGCGTGCGTGTGCGTGTGTGTGTTCACTTAGACTGGAGCACGTGCCAATTAAGTGCCAGCGCTGTTTGTGGAATCGGTCTCAAGACGAGGATGCTGGACTGCGTTAAACCCACAGGGTGAAATCTGTGTGTGTGTGTGTGTGTGTGTGTGTGTGCGTGTGCGTGCGTGTGTGTGTGTGTGTTCACTTAGACTGGAGCACGTGCCAATTAAGTGCCAGCGCTGTGTGTGGAATCGGTCTCAAGACGAGGATGCTGGACTGCGTTAGAAGTGACGGCAAATCTGTTGACCTCAAGTACTGCGAAGAGGTTTGTGCATTTATTTACAGACGCTGCCACTTGTGAATTTCATTCTTTTCTTCTCAGCAGAAGTATAGAGTTGCTCTTCCAGTACCAACAAAAGAATAGTGTTAAATATTTAAGTAAGTTGGGTTTTACACTTTGATTCTGTTTTAATGAAAAGCTTTATGACTCTTATAACATATAGATTGTGTGCTTTATCGTAAGTTGTGCACAGTGTTACAATATTACAGTGATGTCATCACTGTTGGCTACATTTCGAATAGTGAACATTCTATCAGTATAAGTCATTGGGAGATTTTCTTGAATATATAGTTTACAAAACAGATACAGCTTCTGAAATTATCTACATTTGATTGGATTCTGGATCTGAACTGATTCAAACTAAATTAATTTACATGAAATTCTGAAGAAGAAGAACTATTGTAAAAACAGTAATATTGTAAAATATTATTACAATTGAAAATAATTGTTTACTATCTGAATACATTTTAAAATGTAAATCCTGTGATGCAAAGCTGAATTTTCAGCATCATTACTCCAGTCTTCAGTGTCTCAAGTGTCAGTGTCAGATATCATTCTAATATGTTGATTTGCACAAGTTTTGCTGCTGAATATTTTTATGGAAACTGAAAACATTTTGTTTCAGGATTCTTGATGAATAGAAAGTTCAAAAGAACACCATTTATTTGAAATAGAAATCTTTTGTTATATTAGAAACATCTCATACTTCTGTCACTTATATACATATTAGGGATGGGAAGATTCCCCGATTCACGCGGTGCATCGGCATAAAAAGTTAACGATGCGATGTATCGGTTTAAAAAGTGTATCGGCTACAAGTCGGCATTTATACATTACCGCTGCTGCGTGAATATGACGTATCACAACACCACGGAGACCCGAGAAAAAACTGGGATTAAAGTCCAAAACCTGACTTGAAATAACCTAACAAATCAATCGGGGCTAAAGCAGTTCCATAAATGACAAATTAAGTTCACACAATCTCACTAATTTGTGCACGCTTATTCTTAAGCAGCCCGTAATGTAGATCATGGATCAAATCGATCCACCATGACAAACAGCGAATATATCTGTGCTGTTTAATGCATTTGAGACGTTGTGTTTTCCTCAGTGCATAACTGACATGTCACAGGTATATTTTTA